ATATTAACACATTCTTTAATTGGCTTTTTATTTTTAAATATTCTTTAGTATTTTCATAATTTGGGAAACAGTATAGCATTGAAACTTCTATACCTGAAAAATTGTGAGTACACTTTTAATTAATTGTCTGTTTTTTATCTCACAATGTCTCGATAAGAAGTTATATAAAAAAAGTTAGTATTCAATATCATCCAGACAAAAAACAAAAACATGTTTAAAGGAATATATTAAATAAATTATGAGTATTCTTAAACAGAGATATATTTATTTGTATTATAGAAATAATGTTTATGTCAACAAACTTATGTTCGATATTTGTATCAATTTGTAACGATAACTCTTGTATAATGATAATATTAAATTTAAAGGTTTTAAATAAGGATTTGCAGATATCACAGTTCAAAATTTTTTTTTTGACCATAATACTTTTTTTGAAATGAAAGCATTAGTTCCTGTTTTTTAGTTAAGCTCCATAAATCAATTCATATTTTAATCTGAACGCTACTTAAGCGCAGTAAAGTTGCAAAAACTAAACAATATAGTGAACTTTTCGAAAAGTTCTAAGTTAAAATGAAAATCAATTTATATTTAAAATTAAATAAGTTAACTAAAATTTTTGACCGTTATGAAGTTAATAAAGTTATAAATAACGTCGTTACAAAGATTCATGTGTGAATTTTCAATTTCTATTGATGGTAGTTACTCATCTACGTATTACAATATCAATACATGACTTGGATTTGACACAAAACTTTTAATCCGAATCAAAATCTTGACACTATTATTTGGGGACTTAAAAGCATGGCCCACTAGTTGGTGTAGCCTTTTAAAACATTTGGTAAAATCCTAAATTTAAAATAGTGTACTATAATAATAGGACATTAATCATATCTTAAATGGATCGCCTACTACCATGTTTTAGAAATAAATAAAATGTAATTATTAATTTAATAAAAATATTCAAAATAATTTAAGATTCCTTGCGTTATGTTAATAAACATTAAACAAAATTTCTCACGAATTATTTAGTATTTTGTCCCGTACTTCCATGTCTCTATTAGCTTCGCTGTCAAGTTCCGACAAGGCATATTGCATATAAAAAAATTTAATTTAATTTTGTATCTTTTCTTCCCAAAAGCTGTCATTATGAGATATTTTCTCCACTTTTATTCCTCCAGAAGTCCAAAAGCACAAAATGCAAAAATCCATTTGTATTATGTGCAGCTAGCCCTGAATTTGAAAATACCAATAGTGGTTCTCCTTAATGGTATTGTCCTTTTTCCAAAAAGTTATTTCTCTACTGCATATTTCTTCTTCTACAGTCAGTACTTCAGCTCCATATGGACATTTTAACTGACTGGCAGCAACATAATCAAATTCAATAAAATGTTCACATTTAAAAACTTTTACTTGCAAATAAATTTCCAAATATTATTTTGCTCTGAATTTATGGTCCATGCCATATCGGGTGGCCTTAGAAATAAATAAAAGATTTTAAGGAGATTTTTTACAAATTTTTCCAAATTTTAAAGCAGTGACTCGTTTCCGTCTTTTATTGTGCCACAATGCACAATCAGCTTGTCACAATCGTTTTTTTCTCATTAATAGACATTGGCTAACTTTTTAGAAAATTTTCTCTTGCAACGCGCCTCAAAGGGTGCGACAGATCAAAGCCATGCGCGAAAGCAAGATAAAATATTTTCATTACTTTAACGGATTGAAAAGATATTAACATGCTGGAATTAATAATTATTGTTGACTCGAAGAGGTATTCATTAAACAAAAACATATTTATAATACACATCTCAGTGCAGTTTCGGATATATATATTTTTTTAATAAATAAATGATAAAATGAATTTAATATAATTGACCGAAATTACTGTATGTAAAAAATAACAACATGAATTCAAATCACTTACGTACTGTTTATTACTAAATAGTAGAAAAAGATATATATTTTGTTGCTGTCACCATCTAGACGAAAAAGCTTTTAACGTATTTCTATTTTTATTGTAATAAAAATAAATGCTTCTGTAGACAAAAATTAAATATATTGTTCTCTTCTAGAATTTAACAGTTTTATTTCTTTTCGTTTCTTTTCTTAGATGTTTTCAAAAGAGACTGATTCATATTTTTAAAGTGACTCCAGAGAGGTGGGCTAAGCTTTTACCTGTACTTACATAAAATTTCTTAGTAAAATTAAAAAATAATCCGTAAAATTGGTGTACTATGAAACCCTTGCATATAATATATGTACCAATCTTAGTATTACAGAAATAAATTACGCAAAAAATAAGGTGTACAAATACGTAAAATTTATTCATCCCTCGTAAAACATCAGTAAAATATATTATAAATTGTTTTCATTCACAAATATTAATTTCTTAAAATTCTAACAGAGGCGCCACTTTCCGGACGAAAAATCTTGCAATGTAAGGGTTTCGTAGTACCCCACTTTTAAAGTTTATTTTTTACTATTTTTAAAAGAAAAAAATATGTACGTGTAGGTAAAGGTTAAATCTATGCTCCTCTGGAATCACTTTTTCAAAATTCAATTTTGTTTTTTCTAAAAAAAATTGAGAAAATGAGTAAAAAAAAGTCGAGTTTTGTATTTTTTTTAGAAAAAACAGTTTCAAATTTTAAAAAAGTGTCTCCAGAGGAGCATAGATTTATCCTTTACCTACACGTATATATTTTTTTCTTTCAGAATAAGTCAAAAATAAACTTTAAAAGTGGGGTACTACGAAACCCTTGCATGCTACGCTCTACAGCCAAGTAAATACTCCTCTTAACCTAGAAAAAATTATCGATAAGTTAGCTCAATTTATTATAATGCTTTGACTTTTTAAGCTTCGTTTTTTCTGATTGTGTATCATTAATAGGCTAGTTTTTTTTTATTTTTGTTATGTTCTTTAAGAATGGTAGTTTTATTTTGTTTTGTGATTTTGTACGTGTAACTGTTTATTTTAATTATTTATGTCTGTTGACAACGTTATATTTTTAGTCAGATTTAGTTAAATAGTACTTACTTATTTGCCCTCCTATTTTTGACTATGTAATATTAATTTTCTTATTTGTTGTTGTTTATGGAAGCTGTTTTTTTTTGAATGTTCCTTTTTTACTTTTATTTTTATTTATTTTTGTTTTAATATCTAAAATTTTTTCGTTTCGTTGTTTATTTAAAAAACTAAAAATGTTTTATATAAAATTTAACCTTTATTTTTATTTATTACCTACACAGTATTTATATTATGTTTTAAACGCATAATTTTACAGTTTTTTTAGATTATTTGAAACGGTCGCAAAGTACTTGAAATTTCATGATTTTGGACTATCTACTATTTTAACACTACTTTTTAATATATAAATTCTAAATAGTTTTGTCTTAAATGTGATTAACCACCGTTATGGGAATAATCGAGTTGGTCAAAGATAGTAGGATGGGGGGCCAATTATTCGTGGTGGCGATGGGGCCAAATTTAGCCAGTCCGACTCTGGTCCAGTGTAACTAATATAAGTTAAATTAGCAAAAGTACCGTAAAGACCTAATAAATCCTAAACAAATTATAATATTTCTAAGGCAACCAGAGAGGAAACCGATCCTAGTACATTTTTATGAAATCTGGTACAATTATTTATACCAGTCTAGTACTAAACTAAAAAATATTCTGGCAATGTCATATTGTCATTGTTGTTTCCTGTTTCCTCCATCTCCATGATTCTCGTGATAATTGTGACGTCGTGAACGTGGTGCATTTTTAAATTCTACTTTATTTGATAAGATGTTTTAGAAAATGGTAAAAAATTGCGACAAAATAATAAAGTATATTAAACCGAATTTGGTATTTTACAGATGTATTGCATTGTTGAGTTTGAAAAACCGGATGATGACGGTCTGGCGGTTGTGAGGTGAGCAGAAAATGGCTGACGCCGCGTAAAAAACAAGTCTTTTGGCCGCCTTTATAAAGAAAAAAGCTGTTACCAGGCTAAAAATATAATATAAGACCAGTGAGTAATGTTAAAATTTTTTGATTATGAGTTCTTTCAAGGTATTTTTTTAATAATTAATTTAAAAACAAAAGATTTGTAGGGGGTCACTTGATTTAGATACCTTTTCTCATATCACAAGATATATGATCTTTTTTTATTAACTTTTTTTTATAAAGTCAGAAAATATGTATACTTCTGAGAAGATAGTTTTTTGGGGTTACTACCTAAATCTCCGGTGAAGTAATCCCCTCAGATTTTACAACTAGATACACAATTTACTTTTTGTCTTTAGGCATTTTCTGTGGTCCGTATTTTAATAGTTCTTTTATTTTAGATGATAATGATAAGTGATGTACCAAATAAAAAAAAGTCGAAGTTACCTCAGATCTACATTCCAAGGCTGATAAAGTACCTACTAAAAGAAAACAGGTGCCAACTAGAAAGCTGTCATTCGATGATACTGAAGATGATGAAATCGAAAAGCATGCTCGCCCCCCCCTAATTTAAATCAAATCTACAATTTTAGGTATGTTGTGTCAGTTCCTCTAATGTTCTTTTGTCATTTTATTCCTTTTGGTTTCTTGCTCATGATTTTTAATTTACCAGTGTAATTTATTTTTTATAATATGTTTTTTGGATTAAATAAATAACTTTCATCTGCTTAGTATTTTTAATAATTAATGATCCAACCTTGGGACACCCAATATAGACGTCACTTTGACGTTAGGTAGATTCGTGATAATGACGTCAATTTGCCTAGCCTAGGACACCCGATATACACGTTACTTTAACGTGATATCGATTCGTCAAAATGACGATATGGAATGACGTCATTTCGCTGTGATATTCTCACGTTACCATAACGTTATTCTCACATCATCAAATGACGCAACGGACACCAAAAATCACGTCATAATGACGGCATGATGTTACATGGGAAAAAGATAACACTATTTTTGTTAAATAATATAAAACATAAAATTTCAAAAACAGAATATAGAAACTTACCTTCTTCGTCAGGTCGTGGATGATTTCTAGGAGGGATACTTGCAAAGAGCTCATTTTAGTTAAGTTGAATATAAAATCTGGTCTTAACCAAAATTTTAAATGCCTCAAATGAAGAATATTACACATACTGAAAAATAACAAAATTAATGTATTTATTGAGTTAAATATTGTTCGCTATATTAACTTATTTGTATAGTAAAATACAAAACTATAACCGTTGCACGTTACAATTTTTTCAATTAAAGACAAATATTTACAAATAGATAATTTTTTCATGTTTTAATTTAAATTGACCATATAACCATTTAACCAGCTATAATTAATTATCGACTTAATAAGTTTTTGACAATACCTAATGTGACTTTTACATCCAGTAAAACAAAAATAAATATAGCGCCAAAAATTTTACATAATACCCAGTTTATTATAAGTTTATTATGCAGAGTGGCCCAAAAGTCTGGAAACGGCCAATTATCTCGTAAATTGCTAGTCCTAATTGTACAAAATTTGGGGTACACCTATTTTGGGATACGGAGATTCCAGATTTGATATTTGCAATGTTGCCAGATTTTCCGTTTCTCTTATATTATTAGTCACTTTGGTTTTTCAAATTGATCACCCTGTATATTAAGTCATTATTGGAATCTCCTATTCAATACGAGTTTAACCATATGTAACACTTATGATTTTATGTAGTCTAGAAAGTCTTAAATAAATAAAACAGAAGTCTGGCAATGCCTAATTGTCTCATAAATTTTTTAATACAAACTATTTTCAACTACATTAAAACGTAACAATTGAAAGATTACACCATTCTTAACATAATGGTTACTTGATCAAGTGTTCAAAATGTGCTTCATTTGTGAGCTGACAGTACCCTAATCGATAATAGAGTGCATTTACCACATTTCTCCATGACTGTTTTATTTATTTAAGACCTTCCAGACTACATAAAATCATAAGTGTTGCATATGGTTGAAGTCGTATTGAATAGGAGATTCCAATAATGACTTAATATACAGGGTAATCAATTTGAAAAACCAAAGTGACTAATAATATAAGAAAAACGGAAAATCTGGCAACATTGCAAATATCAAATCTGGAATCTCCGTATCCCAAAATAGGTGTAACCCAAATTTTGTACAATTAGGACTAGTAATTTACGAGATAATTGACCGTTTCCAGACTTTTGGGCCACTCCGTATGTTATTTTGGCAGATTTAATCTAAGTGATCTACAATAATATTCATGGAGATCTAAAGGTGAAGATTTTTAAAGGTCCAACTTCAATATTTTTAGTTGGTTTTGAAACTAGCAAAATCAGTGAGCGTAAAGTTCCAACAAAACGACAAATCTTAGGTTTATTCTTTACAAAGTCCCTAAACCTAACTATTCGGAATAGTGCTATAAAAGTCGCCAAGGACGTATTAAACATATGGAGTGATTTTAATCTTCCTACAGCTAAACTATTTTATGTTGTGGGCAAAATTGAATGTTTATTCCGGGAATAGAAAAATCTTTTGAAATCCCGAAAAAATAAAAAAAGATACACAACTTCGACGTTCAACTGCAAAGTCTGCATTAAGTGAAACACCAATTCCAGAGCTGGAATTACCATGTAAGTTGTTTCTTTCAAAGATTATAATACTTTTTCTTGTATAAATATTAAATATACTTTCTTAATTCATTCAAATGTTCAGGTACGAGTCAAAGTACTTCTTTTCATTCTTCACCTGAACAGGAGCTTGAAAAATCTGTTTCAATGATTTAAAACGATTCGCTTCAGATTTAGAAGATCCTCATCCTGAAAATCATAAAAAAAAACAAAGAAAATCGACGTTATAAATCTTGTAGTAGTGAGTGCTCTCGATCGAACTAATACTAGCAACAGAAGCGCAGTATATGGGCCACTTTCATTAACTTCTAATTTTTACCTATCAGTACTTTAAAAAAAACTGACAAAAAATTCAGGTGTCCTGTATTTTTTCCTAAATTACTATAACTGTGTAAAATAAGGTTTTAACCTTGAAAGTCGAAAAAAATACTGATTAAAACTTTTATTCACTGATTTGGTTGAACATTTTAGACAATTTAACATTTTGGTCACGCACAGAAAACTGACAAAAAAAATTTGAACAATAAACCTTTTAATTTTTTAATTTTTTTTAGAGTAAAATGCATTGAGTTTTATTTAATAAATGGTTTTACACCATATACTACTACTTTTAATAAATCTATCAAGGATAAAACAGCAGTTTTTTTAATATCTTAAAAAAACACGCAATGTTTTCTGGTTTTCCACAGCATACAAAAATAATGTAATTGAAAATCCTTTTAATTTGAAGAAGCATGTTTTGTACTATCTAAAAAACAAAAAGGATTTGAATCTAACTTTTTCGATAACACATTATTTCTTAATTCTACCGAGTGTGACCAAAATGTGAATTGGGGACCGAAATGTGAAATAAAGACTGAAAAATAAAATTTTATTTAAAAACTATTAACTGTACTTAACAACTAAGTGAGAAATTTAATTAAAAATACTGAGCATTCAAATGTTTAAAACAGTAACTACAGTCAGAGTATGTTAACTAATTTTATTCAAGTGCTTCTAATAAACAATCTACTTCGCTCATATTCTCGAATTTAAATAGCCGAGATGTTGTTTTTATTGGTGCTTTCAAAGTACAGAGGATTTCGATTTCTGGAATTATTTGAACATCCAACATTTGAGGCCACGAAAATTTTTTTTAATTTCCGCATGATTGATATTACAAGGTTACTGCCTTCAACTCTTAAGATCTGCCCTGGGAACCATTCGGAATCAAACACCACGGCAACCCAATGTCATTCCTTTTTTTGGACTATCTATTTGCTTTGTTTCACGTCACTTGGTGAAGTTGCATCGTGTTTGGCAGTGGTTTTATGTTTTTCTGTTCAAAAACAGCATCGATTGATGAAATATTTTCTTCATTTACTTGATAAATTTTTGTTTTCTTTAAATTGTTATTAGCCATTTCAATAAATTGCTCAATTCTCCCTTAGACACTTCTCCATCAGCTGTTAACGACACCACCAACACTTGAAGAAGTTTCAAGATGAATGAGTAAACCCTAGCTGCATAGAGTAATGAATGAAAAAAAAAAATGTATTTCTATACTGAGTAGTTGGTCCATCACTCATAAAATGGAAATTGTCAATCCTGGGATGATTTCTTTGAATATCTCTTATGATGGGTAATATATTAGCCCAAACAGCACTGGGATCATGACGAAGACACATAGAAATCGTGCAGAAAGTCTGACATTTAGTTTCTTCGCCCTCTTTGTAGTAATATGCTCCAGTGTGTAAACTCAGTTGAACTTTTGATGCTCTAAAGTGTACGCTTTGGACTTCATATGCGTACTCAAGTGAGTAATTTTCGGAAAAATCTATTACCAAACATACTTCGTTTTGGGCCAAATTATGTTTGAGTTTTTCAAAAACTGTCCCTGGTGGTTAACCCTGTATGAGTGTTGAAACATTTTATAAGTTTCATCTTTCATCTTGATAACCAACTCTTCTGCAGTAGTTCTTAGTCTTTCTTTCTTCATTACTTTAACTTTCTTCTCAGTACCTTTAAAAGTTCAAGTTTCTGTGGTATTAGACCATTGAAAATAGTGCAGAGTTGACCTGAGATGTTTTTTATTTTACAATTGTTACATTCTCCATACATGCAGGCACGTGCAATATTAGAGCAACAAAGTTGCTCTGAGAGTTTTTGCAGAGAACTTGCATTATTAATAATTCGGTACTGAGTTAAAACACATAGTAGGAACTCAAAGTTTGCATGCTTAATGCAGAGGCACGTGTCCCTGCTTGTCAAACTGGGAAATGTAACCTAAAATGGTCTCAGCCTTGTAAAAGTTGTGTATGAAATCAACATTATAGTTTTTTGCTTAAACTTTTTATACATATTTAGAAGGCTGTCTGTTAAATATCTTCTTTGCTTAACAGTGCCATCTTTAGTAGCTTTATCTTTTTTGCCTCGAGTACAAATAGAGTTTGAATCATTCTCGAGAAATGCACGGACCCGTTCTTTTAATTTCATTGTAAGAGAAGCTCTTTGTCGTTTGTTTAGATTAATTCCTTTTGATTTGGACGCAAGTTTTCTTTGGTAGTACTTAGTGGCCAATCTTTTAGTGGCCTTTACCAGTTTGTATTTTTTTATAAGAGGACCAGAAACACGAAGGCAAAATTTCCTTTTGTTGGGTGGTTGTACAATCTTTTTTTGTTTTGCTCGATCTCTTCAGTCAATACTTCTCCTATAAGTAGTTTTCTTTTAATGTCCTGCGTACCTCCTCTCTGCATAATCTCTTCCACTCGTTTGTAGGAGTAAGATGTTCAGTATTTTTGTTCTTGTTCTTTAACCTAAAATACTTTAGTTTCCATTTTTGTGCTAACTTTTCTTGCCGAAGTCGTTCATTTTGTTCTTTTATTAGCGACCTGCGAGTTCTTGATCGGGTTGTCAAAACCTTTTTTCGTCCCAACTGAATCTTAACTGAAGTTAAAACCTTTTCTGAGTCATTATTATTTTCCAATTTCTTTTTATAATATTACTTGCGATTATTTTTTCGCCACATTTTTCTCTTTCGTCCTTGTTCACGCTTAGAGACGTCAGCAATAGATTTAATTATACCCTGTTCTTTATTTTTGTAATATCTTTCACGATCTTTTTTTTTCTTTAGTTCATATGCTTCAGGATTGTCTTTAATTTTTGCTCTCTGCTTTCTTTTCCTTTCTCTTTTCTCTTGCCAACATCCTTTTTCTTTTTTTAATACACGAATTACGTGTGTGATGCCCCAGTATCAACAAAGTAAAAAGTTAATGAAAATTACCCATATATTCTCGCTGCCTTTTCTGAGTCAATAGGAGTGCCTGTTGAAGATACTAATTTAAGCTACAGTACCATTCGAATGCGTCGATTAGAAGCTAGAAAAGATATTGTAGATGATTTGAAAGACAAAATCCAATTTCCTAACAATCTTTTCCTTCATTGGAATACGAAATTTCTTGTTGACATTTGTGGATATGATAAAGTTGATAGGCTTGCAGTTGTATCTGGCTCAAATTTTAAACAGTTACTCAACATACAAAAAATCGAAACTGGGACATGAGAGCAACAAACTTTGTCCATAATTGACTCATTGGATGACTGGGGTATTGCAGACAAGATAAAAGGCTTATGCTTCGATGCAACGGCTTCCAATACAGGTTAAAGTTTGACTGTTTTTTTTGTTTTAATATATTAGGTTTATTATTATAGGACCGCACAGTAGTGCATGTGCGACATTGGAACGTATACTTGAAAATAAATTTCTTTATTTTGCTTGCCGACATCATGTTTATGAATTAGTTCTTCAGAAAGCATGCCAAACTTGTTTACCTGCAACGTCAGGTCCAAATGTTTCTACGTTTCAACTATTTCGGCAAACTTGGAAAAATATTGATCAAAGTAATTACATAACTGGATTGGACAATGAAAACATACGTTATAAAGTCATGGACGAAAGAGATAATGTATTGCCATTTATTTTCAAACAACTCAATGTATGAACTATTTTTGATTATTTAATTAGTTCCAGTCAAGTCGAGCTTTCAACCGTTTAAGTACTTAAAAACATGTTTAATTAAACTTTTTCAGAAACACCATCCTCAAGATGATTATAAAGAATTCTTGGAACTAGTATATATTTTTATAAATGGTACGCAAACTTATCCTATCACATTTAAAGCTCCTGGAGCAACTCAACATGCGAGATGGATGTCCAAGGCCATCTATTGCCTCAAAATGTACATGTTCCAAAATCAATTTAATGTTTGTAGTATAAAAGATTTACTTGGATTAGGTGACGTTTGTAGTTTTATAAGTATTTTTTATGTGAAAGCATGGTTCAAGACAAATTTTCTGAAAAATTTAATCAACTATATATCAATGAAAATATTTCAAATGCTACTGTATTAACATTTTCGCTACACTTATGGTACCTCACATAAAGACTTGCAGCAATGTCTATTTTTGATTCTAGTATAGCTTGAAAATGAAAAAGAAAATGATTATTGCTACGACAAACGACGAGAACAAAGTTGATGAAAACAAAATTACATTAACTAAAACACAACTTGACATGATTTGCTTGAAAGATATCAGTGATTTTATCACAAAAAAATCGTTAGAATTTTTTGAGCGACTGGAGTTATCACCGGATTTTTTAAATATTGGGCAGAAGATGATTCACACAAATCATGTTCCGATATTGGGTCCTATGATTGAACGTTTACGTTATCCATAACATACATGTTAGGCCGAATTTTAACAGTAACGAGGCAAATTTGCATGATGGAAAACTGTTAAATTAGAACATTACAGGCGGAAAATAACAGTAATGTATTTGAAAAAGTTTTCTATCTTACGAACTTGCCTCATTACTGTTAAAACTCAGCCTAACATGTACGTTACGGATAACGTAAACGTTCAATCATAGGACCCATTGTTAAAAACTTGAAATGTTTTAATGATATAGCATTCATACAGAAATACAATCGAACTCTAACAAAAAATAAGGAACAAAAACAATTCATCTTACAAGTAGTGCAATTACATCGTCAACAATATCCTAATTGTAATAAATTAAATTTCATTAAGAACTAATTAGCTGTCAACAAAAGTGTATAAATGATTTCAATTGCAATAAAAAATTATTTATTGAACACAATGGGTATTCTTTTGACAAATCTAGATTATTAACGATATATGGTATTTTTAATGAAAAAAGATTTTTTACATGTTATTTGAATGGGAAACTTTGAACGCTCATCGACACCTTTTAAAATTGAGCAAAACTCATGGACTTGCAGGGAAATTTTTTTCTCATTTTATAGGTTCATTTTAACCCATAAATTTGCTGGGTTAGTTTTTTTTTTGGCTCACCCTAGACTTTATATATTAAGTAATGAGCAATTTCAATGTTTTTTTACTTTATTGGGATTGAAACATCTTGTTATCCCAAAAGAGTAAAAAATAACTTTAGTAGAAATAAAAACCATTTATTCTAATTTAGATTACTTACCGCATAACTGCCATAGCATAATCGTAACCTGTGTTTTCTTCATTTGTTTTATTGACACCCATTGCAGTTTCTAAAAAGTAATAAGAAAACAAAAATAATTCCACTTTTCTAGTGATATTGCTAATCTATAAAATATGCAAGGAAAAAAAAATTAAGCAAATTATAAAGAAGGTTCAATATACAAACTTTTTTTATCTAAATAGTCATTTATTTAAACGATAAAAATATGTATTAGGACTAACACTAACACCCTGTATTTTTGTACGAACGACGGTGTATTGCTAGAATAGAAACATTTGTTTTCATTTTCAAATGTGTAGTAATATCTAGTTCCGACACAAGCCGTTTCGTTAGCCCTCTACCAAAAAGAATACAAGGGGATTGTTTACAAAAATGAACATAAAAAAGAAAAAATCATTCTCGTTTAAAAGGGGTAAAATATCGCAATAGCAAAGTAAACCTAAGCAAACCGTTCCAGATTATTTATATCGAAAAAATGCACAGATGCATTTTTAGATCTAGAAAAAGAGAATTTTATCAAGTTACTGTATAGGGGAATGCGAAAAAATGAACAAGGCACATTTTTAATGGGACTTATCGAGGACAAAGAAATGCCAAGACGAAGATCATCTAACAATAGATCTAGGCAGCAGTCGTCTTTTTTATATATTTTGCAATGAAAGTATGCAGAAAAGCATTCTGTAGTCTTTTCGCTGTGTCAAAGTCGAATTCAGGCTGTCGTCGCTTCTAGCTGCTCAGATTTTGACACCTGTTGATATGAGAGGCCAACACGGTAACCGAGGCAATATACTTCCTGCAGATGCCATTTCGAAAATAGATGAGCATTTAGGATCTTTCCCTACCAAGACTTCGCATTATTCGACCAAAAATATCACACATGGAATCTGGCTTGACCGTATCGCTTCGGAAGACTTCAAGTAGACGCGTACATGATTTTTTTTTAAATAATAAATAAACGTTACATTATAAAAATTTAAAAACTTACCCAAAAGCGTGTCTACAGTTGCACTACTCAAGTAATCGTGACAGTCAAAAATATTTCCTTCATGATTTTTAAATTGTTTTACCAAATTGTTTGCATTTTTGTTAAAAACTGGCATAAATGATTTTAGAATACTAGAATGAAATGTGGGAGCGATCATTTTTCTGTGAGACTTCCATTTTTCTCCTAAAAAATATGAGAGATATTAAATAATCAGATAATCGGATCGGTGGCGTAGGTGTCTAACGCACTTGAATTAATTTGCGAATAATTTTGTTGTTCAGAGACACATTCGCTTCGAATCCTACAGAAGACCATGTGAATGTCTTAAACGTGAAACATGGTTCAAAATATAAAATAAACCAGTTCTATCACCGTTATTCATTAGTTTAGTATCTTATAAGTCTGTACATTAAAGAATTTTGAAATCAATGTAAATCTACCTAAATTATGTTAATTTAATTTAATATATTGACGTTATTTAATCAGGGTTAGAGTACATTAGTAAATAGCAGTATAATTTAGAAAATAATAAACACAATTAGATTTGAATTAGTCTATTATTTTCCAGGTGGATATTTCGAACCCGTAAATAATATAATAAAAAATTAAAAATATATATGCTTTATATTTACCTTTACTAATTAAGAGTCCATCTCCTAGCCAAGGTTTAAAAAGTTTGTAGTCGGGCGATTTTTCTAAATGAACATTACTTCCTAATATAACCTAAAACAAATATTGAATGAATAGATACAAACAAAAATATCATATTTCTTCAACTAGATCGTCAAATTATGCTGTTGCTTTTGGTCTGTTGCCGTTTTACGATAAATCTTGCTAAAATTGGTGTTTTATTCATAGAAATAGTATAGAAAGCCGATTCCATATATCAAAAATGAAACCATAAGGAGAAAATAGTGTGTCGGGGCTCATGCGTATAACGGTGCTGGCGCGAACAGGACCGGTGCAAGTTTTTTATTGATCGAACAAATAGTTCGCACGATATTTCAATCATACATTTTTAGAGATGATTCTATACAAAAAACGATTAAAAAAATTTCAAGTTAAGGTAAATATGGTTCTGACAGTCCTTATTAAGAAAGATATGGCATAAAATATGAATTAATTAATTTTCGGCAATCATTAGTACAGTAGTCATGAGATTTTGCTTGTGATTTTCAAAAAAACTTTCAAGAAAAACCACGTGCTCCGGTTTTGACTACGTTTATTATTAAACAGCGAAATTATATACAAAAACTTTAATCCACAATCTAAATTAGGTACTATCACAAGAAAATCACTGTTACAATAATTAATTACTTAACCAAAAACTAAAATACTTTTTAGGTACCTACGTAACCAGAAAGGAGCTGGACCATTTATCCTAATATTGATTTTCTCTCTCCCTACGGTAAAACTTAAAACAATAACAAATTGCCTATCTACTAGGGTCGGTAACTAAACGTATATACATAATGGGCGGATTTTGTTTATACTTAACATTACACTCGCGCATTTAAATATAACTATGCATATAAATATTTACAAACAAAGATACTTTTCCAAACCGGCAATCATTAGTACTGTAGTCACGAGATTTTGCTTGTGATTTGACATCTTATTTGATAATATCATTTGCTACAACTAAATTTAATCTGGGGAGTGCAAAATAGGGCCCAGGAATATTGTTCGATATTTTTTTACATTTTGTCAGCCGAGACTATGAGTCGTTAGACAGAAAACCTTTCATGTTACCATTTTCAATATAAATTAAAAAATTAAAAAATACTACTACATTTACTTGGTACATATTTTATTTTAATTTTGAACCCTTTTAAAAGGGTCTTTCGGTTCCATAATAAAAATTAGTTGCTGCTTACTAGAAACATTCTATATAGCCTAAACCAATTTATAGTTTGTTTTCGATCAATTTAATACAAAGATTTAAAGTTTTTAGTCGATGATAACATTCCACACCAGCACATTGCAAACCTATTTTATAAATAATAGGAATAAACTTGTAAATCATTAATTTGGTAGTTATCTCACTCATATGATTTTTTTGTTTATATGAATATTTCGATTTCTAAATATATTTTGGTCTTACAATACGAAGCGTTTTGTATCTACCACTTTTTTAATGAACGATGAATGTTAACAGGCGTGTACCTTTTTCGGAACAAGAGGCGTTTTAACGAAGGAAATGATTTTCGAGCTATCTAGTTAGTTTTCGGAAAAATAGAAAACGTTTGAAGAAAGTTGTCAATAACAGTTTGTCGTTCATGTGTTTCATTTTGATCAGCTTTCATACTAAATTGCGTAGAATATTTTTCCGATTCAAAATCGAGATTCTCGATATTTCCACAGTTTATTTATAATACCTTCTAAACTGGATTTATCTATCATTTTATATATTTTATAATATATGTTCATGCCCTACTTTTCACTTTATTAATAATTTTTTTTTAACATACTTCAAAATGGTAGGATATTCTCAATTCGTTGAAATATTTTTTTATGTATGTTGAGCGATAATTCTTTACCACGTTGCCCGATTAAGTCAAGATCTGAAGATGGGATCCATAAGAAAATCATTAACATCTTTATTTTTAAAGTAGTTTTTTTTTAAATTTCTTTAAACCTTACTGGTTCGAACGCCGTAAGGAATGAAGAAATGTAAATAATTGTTGTGCCAGCCAAAAAACGAAGAGGAAGTACCGATTAAAATATCGAGTGACAGAAGAGTTCCTAAGATTGTTGAGATCGGGTTTATGTTTTAAAATGCCTTAAAACCGATATCGATAATGTCTCCCCGTCGCTGGGCAGCCTGTATATAAATATACAGATCTCTATTTACATAATTATAATTCTTAGGTAGGTTTAGATTTGCAGACATAAATCTTGTAATAAATATAACAGCTGCCTAATACATTGATTACATTTTCATTAGCCAATGTAAAAATGTCTTTTATTGTACCTAGGATTTGACTAAACACTACACAAAACTAAAAATAAAATGCCACTTTCATCGTGTAATTAATGCCGCGTTTGAGAATCCACATCGGATGCATTTTTTACATCTCGAGCGTTTTTTATCCACATCAGACACATCTGTCCCATTACATTTACGTATACTGAATCACGTGATCAAAGATTTACTACTTACTACATCTCAGATGCATCCGATGTGGATTCTCAAACGCGGCATAAATAATAAACTACAAACGGTCCTGTAAGGGCAGCGTCATATAGCCTTGAAACACCGGATTTTAGTGCTATTGCCAGGTCAATATTGAATTTGTAGGTGAATCGCTTATTGAACATTAAAAATACGGTATTAATGACATCAATACGGTATTTGTATATATTTTTGGGAATGTAATTACACATAAATATTATTAGTTGATTATTTAAATGTTTATAAGTTATTTTGTGGCGATATTTCGTAGATATAAACTGTTTAAATCATATAATTTAAAAATTAATTAATTTAAAATTCTTTTCTGTTAGGTATGTTTAATATATTTGGCAACACTACAGGGACAAGTCATGCTTATTGCGCAAGCTTCTAGACACACTATTTTGCGATGTCAGGCGCAGAGACGCGTTTTTATGCACAGTAGGTTTCAATTTCTGCTTAAATGTTATGTTTATATTGGTCTTCTATATTATTTCTATGGTTTTATTTCCTTTGTTTAAATACTCCAGCCCGACAAATATTTTACAACAGAATAAAAAAGAAACATTGATTTTTTTGTGTTTTATATCGTTTTAAACTGTGAAAGAGTCTTGTTGTTGTTGTTGTTGTTGTTATTATACCATGGGTAATAGAAAGTGTAAGAAAAGTGGTTTAACAAAGAAATGTATGAAAAAGCGTTATTCTACTGTTAGGTAGTTCCTGTAGATCTAGTTCTTCCATTTGTATATCTCTCAGTACGAGATCTAGGTCACCAATGACGTCTCCATTACCTCCGCCCTCATTACTATTGCAGAAGGCAGGTTCGATAAATTTTCTTGTTAACTTAAAATATGATCACCATCGTTCAAAATTCGGAATGTCCGTTATAGATAGTGACATACACTACCATCTTCTAATCCGTTACACGATGATATTCATGAATGGTTGTAAAAACTTGATGAACATTCTAGCATTTATAAATGGGACGATATTAATATTATGTCATTTAGCAGTAAACAAATTACATGGTCCTGCTAAACGTAGTACTAAAGCTTGCCAACGTTTCCCAAAAATTGGTCAGAGCGGAACACTTTGTCGTTACCACATGATCTTCACACCCTAATAACTAAAATATTGGCATTGCATTCCAAACAAAAGCAAAGCCTTGCCTCTTTAAATATTGTTTCGAAATATTAGCTTTAATTCGAAAAATTTTAAATTTGCAAAAAACAAGTCTATAATTCAAATTCTATGAAAAAAAGATGCGACTTGTTAACTTTGATTTCCAGAATAAAAATACTTACGATGGCAAAAAGGTTAACACTTTTGTCGGATTTTCTTGAAATTTTTGAAAATGCAAATACGACTCTTTTACTTAATAGGGTATTGAACAAAAAATGTATACACATTTTTAACGATTATGTCGAAACTACTAGCAACATTGTGATTAAATTTTGTACGAATATGTTTTTGAAGCTGACACCACAGCTTATACAATACAGCTCCACAACTCCGTATCGGCGTCTTTGATCTGGCGGTCGAGAACCAAGCAAGACGGAATGGTGCTATCTCTGTTAGATTCGAGGGAAAAGTCGGGCCCGGATTAAACAATTTTTTTATTATTGAAAAAATTGAAAACCTTGGCACGTAATAAGGTTGGTTACATGCCATATTAAGTAAGTTTTGGGAAATTAAATTTTTAATTTGTTTTAAATCTGTCAAATATAATTAAAAAAATTATTAAAATATAAATATTACGAAAAATAGCACATCTTTCGGATTAGAGGTAAAATAATTTGTATGTGGCTAGTAAAATCCTCGTTAACAAATGTTTTGAGCTAAGACAGTCACTTCACGACAAATTGTGGCTTGGATCCTTTTTACACCAAGTGCTTCAATTGTTAAAGAATTTTGTCACGCTCGTGGATGCAAATCAAGTGGTACCCCGTGTGTCTGGCAAGTGTTACTCTTCATGCAAAGGGTTAATACCTAGATAAACGAATGCTTTGAGTGAGGTCTGGGAACTCTATGGTATTTTGGAATTATAAAGAATTTGTGCTTTTATTTTAACAATATTGGTTATATTTAGATGTATTCTAATTAATTTAAATACAGATTTGTAGAAGTAATACTTTGACAGTTTTTATTAATATAATATATTCAATTTTTATCTGACCATACCGAAGTAGGGAATTTTGAAACTTTATAGTAATGTGAAATTTGAATTACAATATTACACGAAATTACATAATTAATACTTATTTTAGGTAGGTACTAAATTTGTACTTGGAGAAAGTAATATCGATTTTTACAAGAAAACTTGAAAAGTAAATTAATTTAGTTCCTATTTTTGATGTAAAACTTAAACCAAGAAAACAAATAAATAGTAGTGTGTTCAACAAGGGTGGATATGATAGCCATATCACACAAAGACGAAGTTTGAGCACGACGTCGTAGGCGGAGTACTCAATCGTCTGATTGTGATATGAACAATCCACTCGATGTGGTCAGTATATTTTTTCTACGACCCACTAACGAAAATCTACAA